GGAGGCTCTTAAGTATTGGGGTTATGTTGGGGGTAATGGAAAAGGAAATGAAAACTACTATTTAGGGTTTAGTGTTTAGGGATTTTGGGCCCCTTAAGTAGATAGAATATGGAGTATATGGGATCTTATTATAAGTAATATGTACAGGGCCATATTCTATCTACTTAACGGGGACTATAAGCCCTACATAGAACGTCTTTTCTTGTATGTTTTACCTTGTAGAGCTACAGGACACCTAAATCATTTCCCCAAAGGACCTTGAGATCAACTCCCAAACGCTGCGCTGCCTGCAATGGGTTAACAATAAATGGGAGCTTCCAAAACAGGAGTCCGCCGCGCCGTACATATCCCCAATCCCTTAATCCTTATCGCGGTGACCCCCCAAAGGGACCCCTCTTGGAAACTAACGAATCTGGATACATCAGGGGCCCTTCCCCCGATGAAACACATGACGGAACAAACTGCACACGTATGTGCCCCAATTTCGGGGGAGGGAAGATGAACAGGCTCTGACGCCATCCACACTGTAAAGGGCCATTATTACTATTATTCCTACTACATTGACTATTATGGCGATTATTGCTATTATTACTACTGTCATTACTATTGTTGCTGTTATTAGTACTATTACTATTACTATCAAGGCCATGGCAAACCATACTGGGCTGATGGCTCCTAAGGCATGTCTCACAGATGTATTATGATGTATTCTTGAAAATCCTGAACACTACACTCCTGATAGGAGAAGCCCTCCTACAATCTCCTTAGAATAATGTAGACCGATGGTTAATCAACCCCCTCCCTTTAAGGGTCTTCATATGAGGATCCCTGAAGGGAAGGGGGTTTATCAATCAGGGGTCTTCATTACCGTCATCCCTGGGGGCACATACGTAAATTCAGTGCGGATAGGCAACTCTGTGCCACGTTCAGACACTTGTCCTCGTTGAATCTTACCATTGGGGTGTAGGGTTCAGGGTGCGGCGACAAGTGGGTCCCACGTGGTGCCTGAGACGCGGCTTTCTTCGGCATTTTCACGAACTACTCCCCTTCCCCTAAAAATAGTTCCACAACCCCCTCATACTAAATACAGCCAATACCCTGGGATCCATAAAGCCCAAAATGGATACCATTTACAAAATTTAAGGCCCGATGTAGGCAAATATACTTTGGGCCTGGCGGCAAGTGCCGGCCTGGCCGTCGGCCCCGCGCCCACCCAGCCACAGCCCACCCCAGCCCTGCTAATGCGCCTAAACGGAAGAAGCGTACGCAAAAATCAAATTCTTATTACCTGAGATGTCTTTTAGGTTTGGAAGGTCTTGTTCTCTGCAGTTCAACTGAAAATGACCCCAAATTGAAGCCCCGATTGTGCTGATGATGCTCCTGTATGGGGCCAGCATCATCAGCGCAAATGGGACCTCGTTTTGGCTTGATTGGGACCAGGAGGAGTGAAAGACCTAAGAAGAACCACCAAAAGGGCTTTGAACATGGTTCTCTGCACTGGCTGACCATGCTTGGGTCCACATGTAATTTTTCTGTAATTCAATTTTCTAACGTATTTGAGAAGTTAAACGTGATGCAAAATCCTAGCATAGGAGCCGCTAAAGGGCTGGCAACATGATCAAAATGCACCAAACACCATGCCCTAAACCCTAAACCCTAATCCCTAAACCCTAAACATGCATAATGCACAATTTAGAGGGCTTGGCCTCGGTAATGCACACAAAGCCTTTCACATCCTTGTCATGCAGTGCGGGTGCTACCAATACTGGTATTTACAGCCACAAACACTGCCCATTAGGCGTTGAGTTGGAGTTGGGTTTAGAGTTTAGGCTTTAGGGGGGGAATTATAATGATATTTTGGGTCATTCCCCCTTACAGTAACTGTTACCACAATGGGTTAATAAGGCCTTTAAGGACAGTTACTGGGAGGGGGAATGACCCAAATGATATTAATGATTAGACCCACCTTGGCTTAGGGGGTTATATGGATTATAGGGCTTCTTATAGGGGTGATCATAAGGGTTTAGGGTCTAGGGATTATAGGAGATGATATTATAGGGATTATTATAAGGATTATGATTACAGCATCCTGAGCATCATGGGGCCTGTTTGGGCCCCCAATTTCCCTCTTGACACCACACGTATGAGGTTCCAACACCGCTCCAAAACGTGCTGATGATGCTGGCCCGGAAAAATTGCCCCAAACCTTCCGTACCGCTGGGGGAAGCCTCAAAAACACGTCCAAAAATCGTCTTAACGTCCAACAATTGGCCAAATTTTGGCTCCCAACAACACAGATCCATGGCTTCCAAAGGGGGGGTATCGGCGGCTGTGGCGTCACCCGCTTACAGCGTAGCTTTGGCTAGGCGTGCATCCGCATTGGATCATGATGGCCAGGCCGGATTTTTAGACTTGAGCTGACTTGGATCCCGAGGGGGATATAAAACCATTGCACCGTTACAGGGAACGTTCCTTATTAGGGGAAGGTGATTACATGCTCGCTCGGAATTCCCCGGCTCGCATGGCGCGCATTAACAAATAGGGTTTCCCAAGCGGTTTAAAAGGGTTATTCAGGTCTATAGTACGGATAAATAAGGTTCAGGGTTTCCCAAAACTAGAATTAAGATCCTCAAGCCCTTTATAAGACAGGGTTACGTATGTGAATAGAGGCAAATAATTAGGCTTGAGGATGTTAGAACTAGAGGTCGCATGGAAACCGCTAAGTCGCACAAACACCTCCGAGCTCTGCCCTTGCAGGAGACTCGGAAGAATCAGATCCGTTCCGAATGGACCTTGGGAAATAGGGTTTGGGGTTTTGGGGTTTAGGGTGTTGGGATTTAGGGTTTAGGGGTTTGGGTTGAGGCTTTAAGGTCCAGGGCAAACCTACGGCTCCAAACAGAAAAATGAAAGTCATATGAGCTGGAGTCTAAACTCCTAGCATCCCTAGAACAGTCCACTGTATAATCCCCTAAGTAATCCCCTTTAAGGAGCTTGACACTATAGCTCAGATCTATAGAACGCTAAACCCTCGAAGTAGGCAAAGTGACAGAGGTGGAGCCCTAGCCTTAGGGCTTTCGCCCGATAGGACCTTGGGTATTCGGGTGCAAGCCTGAACCCTAAAGAGTATGGGTTAGGGTCTAAGGGTTTAGGGTCTAGGGTTGTGGGTCCTATGTAATTCCTTTTTGGGTTTGTTATGTTTTTTTGGTAAGAGGTTATCATACAGTACCCTAAAATCATACAGTACCCTAAAAGGAACTACATAGGAGGGCCTGGGTAATAGCTAGAGTAAATCGCTGACGTCAAGCCAGGCCCTGTGGGGCAAGCATCCATATGTACCACGAATTTAGGTCTTGGGCTTGCTGGTAGAGGGGGGGTGCATCCTTATAATGATCCCGATATAATCCAATATATAGAAAAGCCTTATACTCACTCTCCCACTCCCCCTTAAGCACCAGTAAGTAGGGTTCAGGGTTGGGGTCACCTTTGCGAAAACAGATTGTTATTTCAAAGCTGTGGGGCCAGAAGAGATATCTGTAATCCCCCTAGACCCAGAATAATGATAATGTTTCTCGTAATCCTTAGGGTTCTGCTATAAAAATACAAGGAGCCTACAAACGTGATGGCTTGCATCCAGCAAGCCATACTCAACTCCCCGGAAAGAGCACCCCCTGTTCATAGATGTCAAAAATGTGCCGAGTATGATTAGAATACCGTAACGGATTGGTGCACTTCCTCTTCGGGCAGAGCGGAGATTTATAGAGGAGGGGGTCACAAAGCTACGCATGCTGCCGGGTACTACACACCCGAACAAACAAACCTTTGGATCAGTCTTTGTAGATGACTGCACTTTTCCACGGGGCCTATGCGTGTTCCTTGTCTGCCCCTGGGACAATACGAAGGCCCGAGAAACTGAACCCATCATCGAGGACAAAAAGGGGGGAGGCATACAGACCCCACCATCCAGGTTTAGGGTTGTGGGCCCGTAAACCCCACAGGCTGCCAACATAGCCCAACATAGATCCACTCTGCTCAAGGAAGTTCCTCAAGAGGGCTACCTCAACCCAAACCCGGGGATAGAACCCTAAAACCAGGACTCTGACTTCCGGGCCACATCAAAGTAAATCCCAAAGCTTATAGTCCCCCTTAAGTAGATAATGGGTTAATATAGGGGTTATATAGGGATAATGGAAAAGAAAATGGAAACCACAATTTAGGGTTTAGGGGTTTATAGTCCCCATTAATTAGATAGAATATGGCGTATATGGGGATCTTTTTAAAACATACCCAAAGCCATATTCTATCTACTTAACGCGGACTATGTTTGGATAATCTTTTAACTTAATCCGCCGACCTACTATAACCCTAAACCCTGAACCCTAAACCCCTAAACCGACCCAATAGACCGGCAGTGACAAAATCCGCGGGATGCCAAAGGGCCTCTCAGGGCTTAGTCTAAGTCTAAGCCTACCGGTCCGAGGACCCAGATAATAGGGTTTAGGGTTTAGGGTGTAGGGCTCAAATACTATAATATCATCGGTATTTGGGCCCTAAAACGCTATTATTTGGGTCCTTGGACCCTTAGGGTAAGCCTAAACCCTAGACCCTAAAAACCTGAAACCGCGACCCGAGATGCAGCTAGGAGTTTCTTGGGGTCCTGTTTAAGAGGGTTCTGAGGGGTATGTTATACATTACATGCCATACCCTGGGGCTCCAGTTACCTAAATTATGGGTTCTGGGTTCTATATTACTATTTAGGTAACTGGGAGCCCTAGGGATCATTATACACGGATGATAAGGGGAAAAAATATTCCTTTCGGGCCTAAACCCTAAACCCTAATCGGGCTCAGTAAACTTTGCGACTTCAGGGGCGGGCTCCTCTTCGAGGAGCGTCCTCATCTTCATCTCTGTCCCTCTCACAGCATCCTCGAAGGGACTCAGAGGATTAGGGTTTTGGGGTTTTGGGGTTTATAGTCCCCCTTAAGTAGATAATGGGTTAATATAGGGGTTATATAGGGATAATGGAAAAGAAAATGGAAACCACAATTTAGGGTTTAGGGGTTTATAGTCCCCATTAATTAGATAGAATATGGCGTATATGGGGATCTTTTTAAGACATACCCAAAGCCATATTCTATCTACTTAAGGGGAACAAAAGGGGTCTAGGATCCTCAAGCCTGAATCCTAAACCGCTTGCAACGGGAGGGAGCCTTCCGAAGGGAACCTCTGGGTTGAGTACCTGAACCCCCAAAGGTATGTATAATAATGGCCTTTTGGGCTATATTTGGGTGTTCTGGGCTATTATCTTACATACTTTTGAGGTTAGGTATAGCATATTACAGCAGGCTTTCTAGGGTCTAAGCTACGAAGTGGGCGGCCAATGTCACCACCCCACAGAAAAATGTCCATGTCTCCATACACACTCATCTTACTGGCGGCATAATAAGGGAATGTAATCCGTAAAATTATACAACATACTGTAAACCCTATAATGCCAAATCCCTAGAATGATATGCTATGTTTGTTCCACAGCAGGTGATGTGGTCGGCAGAATGGAGGCAGAAAGTCTCCTGGTAGCCTCTAGGGTTTAGGATTGAGGGATTAGGGCTTAGGATATAGGGTTTAGGGATGAATGACAGGACGTAATTGCTCACCATTGTGTCTCTGGAAGTTTTTGAGATAGTGCACTAGCTCTGTAGTTGCACCACTTTGCAGCATCGAACGGCACCCGAGGTGCATGTGCAAATCAAGAGGATGCGATTGAACGAAAACCCTCATCGTTAAACCTCAAACAGATTTCTCAAGCTCTGTTCATGAAGCTTACCCGGGAAGTCCAACAGAAGAAAGCCGTAAACCTACACTTGCATATTAACAGATGTGTAGTAAGTACATTGGGCCCTTAAGTCTACAAATGCGAGCTAGTCCAAACTCCTTGTATCTCCCTTAGCAACCCCTATAACACTCCGCCCCCTTTAAGGAGTTTAGACCCTAAACCCTAAACCCTATATGAGCTATAGTCTAAACTCCTAGTATCCCCCTTAATAAGCCCTATAATGGTCCGCTATAGAATCCCCTATATATCCCCCTTTAAGGAGTTTAGACTATAGCTCATATAATCCCGTCTACTTAGGGCCATTGGGTATGTTGGAGCCCTCACGTCCTCGTTGTCGTCTGGAATGTCTTCCTCCTCAGGCGAGGCCTCCACCTCAGCCTGAGTGGTTGGGTTTAAGTTTTAGGGTTTAGGGTTTAGGGCCAAGTTTAGGGTTTAGGGTTTTGGTTTGTAGGGGTTCCAAGCCAGTACCACTTGCGATGGAGGTTTGGGCATTCCTGGATGTTGATGATAAGGGACTTAGGGCCTAGGGCTCTAGTGGTTGAGGTCTAGGGATTCCGGGCTTGGGCTTAGCGCTTCAGGCTTAGAGTGCAGGGGTCTGTTTGTTAGTAATCTGAAAGACAAAGCCCTTGACACTAAACCCTAAGCCCCAAACCCTGAAGCGAACCCTACACCCCAAATACACCAAACACTAAACCCTAAACCCTAAACCCTAATCCTAAACCCTAAACCTAAACCTTTAGGTGCACGTGAGTTTGAGGTTTCTGATGGGAGGGTTGAGACTTTAGGGTATGGCCTGCTTCCGGGAATTCTGCTTCAGTGCCCTAGACCCTACCTACACCCTAAACCCTAAATCCTTACACCCTAAATCCTAAACCCTATAAATCCTAAATCCTAAACCTAAATCCTAAACCCTAAACCCTAGGCTTCGAAGGCTTTGGAGGTCAGGAACTTTCGGGGCCAGTCAGCAGTCTTCCCCCCCAAGTTTCTTCTCTTCAAAGAAGAAAAGGATTAGGGTTCAGGGTCTAGGGGTAAACAGTTTAGGAATTTAGGGTTTGGGGGTTTAGGGTTTTAGGGTTTAAGGGCTTCGGGTTTTGGATTTTGGTGCGTGCTATAGATCCTTAGGGATCCCGGTATACAAGTAATGCCCACACTGGGCCCTAAGTCTATAAAAATTACCTACATTGGGCTATGGCGATGCTTAGGGGATATGCCGGATAGAGATGAGGAAGTCTGGGGGCTCTTGTGGGCACAGGACTGTACTCATGGTTGCAACTAGAAGGATCTCCAGGTCCAACCATGGAGGGCGAATAGCCCCCCTTAAGTAGATAGAATATTGGAGTATATTATTGGATTTACATTGGGATAATGGAAAAGAAAATAGAAACTACTATTTAGGGTTTAGGGTTTAGGGTTATAGTCCACCTTAAGTAGATAGAATATGGCTTTGAGTAAATTATAAAGAGACCCCCATATACCCCGAATTCTATCTACTTAAGGGGGACTATAAGGGTTAAGGGTCCATTCCTACAGCGTAGCGTTCAACACGAGAAAGAAGGGCACATGCAGAAAGAAGAAAAGGCAAAGTTGAAAGTGACCTCTTGGTGGTGCTAGGACTCAAGCCTGCAGAAACTTGCTGCATACTTCATGCTTCGAAAGTCACGCCTCTCTTTGTGTATGGGTCACGCGAGAAAGGTTACGACTGCAAGCGACAAGCTAAGGAACCTTGTTGAGGGGCACGGAGGGTTTTGAATCTAGTCTAGCACGACAAAATCGAAAACCTTTCTTGGAGTGAGATGAAGACATTTTTGGCGCTTGAGGTCACCAAGAGCTCGCTGATCTTATCAAACACGTGCAGAAAAGGGCTCGATGTAATCCCACTCTATTTGGTGAGAGACTCTTGCATTTCTGCTCAACATGCCACTCATCTTCCAAAACATGAGGGTCCCTACGCCGGCCCTACCCACTGAATCCTAAATCATGAACCCCAACTCCAAAAAAACCTAAGATCTGAACACTAAACCCTACATCCTAAACCTTGCTCAGATTTCTGATCGTTTCCATGTCCCTGTACAAACCTCCTAACTCTCAACCCCAAGCTCCGTATCTCTGTAAATCTTCCTCATACCCCATAAAACCCTTCTATAAACATTATGAAACCTCCATAAGCACTATAAACCCCCTACATTGTTTTAATTCACACCTGTAATTTTGAACCACCATGCCCAACCCAGACCACAGGACCGCAAAACCCCAGGAGGGGGAAGGCAAGGTTCATCGTACTTCTCATATTCTATATGAGCCATAGTCTAAACTCCTTAAAGGGGAATATATAGGGGATTATATAGGCTATATAATCCCCTATACATTCCCCTTTAAGGAGTTTAGACTATGGCTATATAGGGAAGTATTCTACGGGTTATTAAGGGGTATACGAGGAGTGTAGACCATAGCTCATATCTTGTACATCATGGACCATTGGTGGGGGACCCGTGAATGCTGACGCATTTATAGGACTCATATGTCCCCACATATCCCAGGGTATCCTATATACCCCCAAAAGTCCTATATGTCTCTAGATATCGCTGCCAACCCTAAACCCTGAAACCTGAACCCCATCCGCAGAACAGGCAAGCCTCGTATGCCTCGGCGGATTCGGGTGCTTCTTCTTCCTCTGGGTTGTCTTGCCCGGTAGACACCTTTGGAGGGGCAGGGTCGAAGTTGGGGTTCAGGATTCAAGGTTATATAGGGATTGTATACGGATTATATAGGGATTCTATAGAGAGGATATACGGATTATATAGGGGCTATATAATGATAATACATGGAAAAGAGAATGGAAACTCCTACATAGGGCCCTAAACCCTAAAGGTTGAAGCTTTGGGCGTTTGGGGGTTCAGGGCTGAAGGTATACAGGCATCTCCAACCTGCCGCTCGCGACTCCGTTTAGGGGCCCTCACTGTCGACCGCGGGCGCCAAGCGAATTTAGGGTTTAGGGTTTAGAGTTGAGGGTTTAGGGTCTAGGGTTTAGGGGTTTCCTTTCTCAAGCCAACATGAAATTCATGTAGGCCATTGATGAACGGCTGGTGTCTTTCCAGCCTTTTGAGGCTTCCATGCTAGCTTGCAGGTGCATAGGCTCCCAAGCCCTCTCAAGGCATTAAGCGTTGTTGTTTTTGAGGGTGTTGTTTGTGAGGGGCAGGTACAACCCAAGGATTGCACCATGGAGCGCTTACCTTCAGGCCCTTTGGTACCCAGCATACGCGTACCCCTGCGCGCCCCAACATTCACAACCCGCTTCTGTTGATCAGTCTGACAAGCTCATTTTTGGGCCCTAGGCCCTAAGCCCTAAGCCCTAAACCCTAAGCTCATTTTGGGGGCAGTTGCCCCTCTGTTGGGCCCCCAAAGCCTTAATCCCTGAACTCTGAACCACTAGATCCTCAACCCTCGAACCATAGATGAAACCTAAACTCATAAGCCACTAAACCCCAAAACAATAAAACACAAACCACCCTAAACCCTATATCCGAAACCCTGAACCCTAGATCCTAAACCCTAAGCCCTAAACTCTAATCCTAAACCCTAAACCCAAATCCTAAAACCCTAAACCCAAATCCTAAAACCCTAAACCCAAGTCCTAAAACCCTAAACCCAAATCCTAAAACCCTAAATCCAAATCCTAATCTGGCCTCGGGCTGGCTCGGAAGCTCTGCCCCGGGTCCAAAGGAACTTGAACTGATCCTCGCTGTTCAGGGTTGTTGTTAGTGTTTTATAAGGCCTAAACCCTAAACCCCAAACCCTAAGGTTTAGGGTTAGGTTTAGGGTTTAGGATTTTTTGGATGTAGGCTTTAGCCCAAAACCGAAACCCTGTTGATGGCTTCGGGTTAAGAGTTGGTCGCCTCAACACTCCATGGAAACCACCGAGAGGCTCAAGACATCAGCGGACACGAGTCAACAACATAGACAATGGGGCTTCAAACTTCAGGGGGGTCTATGTTGTGGCGACAGCATATACCCCCATAATGCGGAATGGAATGGAAAGGGAAAGTGAACAACTAAACGGAAAGGGCCAACATATTTGGGTCTCAAAACCATGCCGGCCAGAACACACGCGCCGATCGCGAGCGATTACGGGCTCGAGAGCCAGACACCGCTCTTCACTTTTGCGTGCTGGTATGCGACATCAGCACCGACATGTCTAGGTTGAGACAAAGGGCCGAGGAAATCGAGGTGTGGTCTGAGGAATGGAAACAAAACAAGACACACAAAAGGAACACCAAATAACAGCTCTCCACCATGTGTAGTCTTATCCCATTCCTATTGCACACAGGTGTTCTGGGAAATTGTGCGTCGGGTGTTTGTGTGTGACCCAAGAACCATGGCAAAATATCAATCGTGAGAGCCGGGGTGGGCATGTTGGGTTACTCCTCGAACCCGCAATTCGGGTGCCGCAGTTTCTGGGCTTCCGATACGTCTCTTGCGAGCAGCTGGAACGCTTGAAAAAAAAGCATCACCGGTATTTGCCATGAGTGGAAAGTTTCAAGTTTTCCGTCCTACTGCACATGAAAAACTTGGAGATTGAAGGTTTGTCCGAGTTCAACCAAATTTCCACAACCAGAACCATGGTCGAAAAGGCATCAACATTCATATGCTGGCTGGTTTTGATGAGGAAGGGCAGCCACTGTTGTCAACGATAGCAAGAACTCCCTTATTATGTTCTCACAAGACCCAGGTAGGAGATAAGACAGGCACTCCCTTATGTGTCTGCTGAAGATGGGAGGACCCCTGGATTATTGTTGGGGAGAATATGAACCGTACGTCTTGGTTTTGAAGAATAGTGCTTCACATATGCGATGGTGAATAAGGAAGACGTCTGTAGTCTCTCCCATGGGCAGTATGGACCCATTCTCCTTCTCCAACCCCAAACCTTAAACCCTAAACCCTAAACCCCCCAAACCATTAATCCTTCTCGCCGCGCCCCCTCCACTCCCCGAAGGCAAGCCATGTCTCTGCTCCGTGCACCTGCCTTCATCTTTCCGAATCAAAAAACCCTAAGGGTCCAAGTACCTAATAATCATATACTTACCCAAAACCTGCAGTATAATCATTATTATCCAAAACCCGAGTATCTGATTACTGGGTATCTGGACCCTTCGGGAAACATAAGCTGGACATCTTGTTGGGCATAGCATGGAATGTGTCATTTAATACCATGGATGATGTGGTCTGTATTTCTTCTGGAGGATCAGAGGGGTTGTTCTCATGTATTATGGCCTTTTAAATCATTATGAAAACTCAGAACATCATTGTTTGATGAAAAGAGGGGTAGTAGGAATAACTTTTGTTGTTCTACATTATCAAGAACTCCCTCACTCTCCAGAGAATGGCCTGACTCTATGGTGGCTTGCATTCACAGGAAATGGAACCAGTTGGCACGCAGATCTCTCGCAGGTCGTCCTCGCAGTCTCGCTCTCGCCGTCTCGCTCTCGCCGCGTGTCTGGGTCTGGGGAGTTGAGAAACCCAACTATTATTTGCTATTACTATCATTACTACTAGTATCATTGCTATTGATATTAATATTATTCTTGTGACCATTGCTACCTGCAGTCACCGTGGATGTGGCGGCGATGGCGGTGGTGCTGGCACTGGCGCTGGTGCTGGCTGTGGACACGGACTGATAGAACAGCGGGAAGACATGGTTGGTGCTTGCGCTTCCCGAACCCATACAACGCAGGATGAGGATATCCCCTACCCCTCCATTCAACACCAACCATCAGCTTAATCTTCATCTTTGCACGGTTCTTCATACCGTATGTGACTGAACCCTATAAACTCTAAACCCTCAGCCCCAAAGCGCTGAATTTCTGCGAAAAAATACGGCAACTGTTCAAGGTTCGTCTTCATACCGTATTGGCCTTTGAAAAGTGGGAATGCTGAGTAGCAGGGCAGGGGTTCTAGGTCTGTGACACCCCTCTACTTATGCACTGAACCCTATACCATAAACCCTGACTTCCTGAAACCTGAATTCTCAACCTTTGACACACTTCTCCATCTGAATGCTAAACACCTGAGTCCCCAAACCCTTAACCGCAGGTAAGAAACGGATTTTAGCTACCCAACCTGATAAGAAGAATCCTACAACTATCATGTGACCATAATGTAGGGTGCTAAGGATAGAAGATAAAGTACCTAAACCCTGGACCCTAAGCCCGTTACCCTGAATCCTAAACCATGAACCCTAAACCCTACACCCTAAAACCCTAACCTCTAAACCCTCATTTCCAAACCCTAAATCCTAGGACGGCGCCCGATCCTGCTTTTCAGGTTGGCGCTCTTCCTGTCTTCAAGGACCTCCGTACCCAGGAGTGACCTCGGTGCATTGTTGACTGGATTTCAGGGATACGGATAATTCTGTTAAACTTTAGGGTTTGGGGTTTAGGGTTTAGGGACTTTAAATTTTTCGTGTTTAAGGACTACAAACGCCGTGTTCAGAGTATGTCACAAAGCGGGTTACTCTAGGATGTAGGGGTCGTTGAGTTCACGCCTTGGGCACCTCCAACTTGTCTTTTTGAGCACTCTTCTCAAGTTTAGGGTTTAGGGGCTTAGGGTTTAAGGGTTTAGGAGGACTCTGGAACATCTTCAATACAAGCTAACATAACTAAATCGGGACCCTGTCTGCGAACTTAAGTTAAGATACCACACTTGGGAACCCTGCCCTTTACAATGATATATACCCTATGGTAACTTCATGTAACTTCCTTGACGGCAAATCACTCAGGCACCTATGGTCGCCGAGCCCATTTGGAAGCTCAGGATCTGTAGGCTAACCCCCTCCCCCGATTAATGAAAACCCCCAACCCCCCTAAAAATGCATGCCCCTCAATGAAGGGTCTGAGCTTCAGGATGTAGACTTGCGACAGTCAATCAGATTCTACAGCATAGATAGTAGAAGCATACTCTCCGTCTTGCTTGAAATCATAGTACTCACTTTAGTGTAATTACTGCTCATCTGAAATGGCCCATCTGAGCTACCGTCTTAACTCAGAGTATCACTCGTAGTAAGCCCAAAAATACTCCCTACATGATCCCTTAATATCCCTTTTAAGGAGTTAGACTATAGCCCATACGAAATGGCCCATCTAGGGTTTAGGGCTTAGGGGTTGAAACCTGGACCCTAAACCATCCCACAACACTCCGTGTCCGGTCGAACTGGCATCTTCTCATCCCGCAATTACTGTCGTTCCTAATCCCTAAAAAGTGCACCCAAAACCCAAGCCTGAAGCAAAAGATAGACCTTAAACCCTAAACCCCTAAACCCTAAACCCTTAACCGTTGATTGCGACCGAGGGACAAGAAGGCCATCATGAGCTTGACATCATAGACGGCCATGGCCCTCAATGACGCTACCACAGTTTCCTCCTGATATACAAAACAGGAGGGTTTAGGGTTTAGGCTATAGGGGGTTTGCGGCTTTGGGCTTAAGATGTTAGGCCTTTACCCTTAATCTTCTGGGGGTGATGCTTCAAGATGAATCGCAAAAGGATGCGAATAAGATCGTTTATCCTCGTCTCATACGGGCATTTTCATCGCTACTGACCGCCGAAGAAGACTTAGAACACCGCCCAAAAACCAAAACCTATTCCCAGATCTGCGCACCTCTGGCCACCATACATACGCTGATACGTACCAATGCAAACCCCCAAATTGCGGGGGGGGGATGGGGGGTGGCGTCGATTCCGGCCCTGCTTATTTTGCGGGGTTTGCGGGGGTGGATTCCTAATTAATTGGGTTGTAGGGTGGGGTTTAGGGCTCAGACTTCAAAACCCTCAGCCCTAACAACTGTTGTGCAGGCGTTCGAGGCCTCGATTTCGGGACCTGCTTTAAAGGAGTAGCATGCAAAGTAGGGTTTGTGAACAACTTCGGGCTTAGGATTGAGGATTGAGGATTTAGGGTTTAGGTTTGGGCTTAGGGCTTGGGGTTTAGGGTTTAGGGTTTAGGGCTTGGGACTTAGGGTTTAAGGCTTATTGCAGGCTCAAAGGTTTTCGGATTGGGGATTCAGAGTCTAGGATTTCAGGCTTTGGGTTTTGTGATTCCTGGTCTAGCACGGGATCCCACTTTCTGTGCCTCACAGCCAGGAAAAAAAAAGGCACTTAGGGACATCCGCAAACAGTGCTCCTGAGCTTAGTATTTGGGGTTTAGGGTTTGGGGTTTAGGAGCTTTAGCTTTGCGGGATCAGGGTTTAGGTAATACCGAACTTTCCGTGGTCCAAATGGGAAGCCGACAAAGAAACCAGCATTATGCGGGGAATCCAGATGAAAGGGTCCGTACTGTATAAACTTTAGGGGAACAAGGCTTGAGGCTGCGTTTAGGGTTTAAGGTTAACCGTTTAAGGTGAATGGTTTAAGGTTTACTGTTTAAGGTTAATTTATGGGGGAAGGGTTAGTTGGTGTGTGGCCCGAAGTAGCTAAAAGAACGGAGAATCAACTGGAATAGTGGGCATGGAAAGTTAGTTTATTTATGTGGTCATGTACGGCAGGATTTAAACTCATAGTTCTGCAAACTGAACGCCAAGTATACGCACAAATTGAATTCTAAGGGACCCTATATACACACACTAACAACTAGAACAAGCACCCTACTTCATATGGGGATTGTAATGCGCGGTCCGAAAAAATAAGAATGGATAGGGGATTGGGTATATCATGCTAAGCCTATATAAGCACTAAGCTCTACAAGGATTAATTTGCACAGAGCATTGCAGATACCCTCAACCCTAAAGGCTGAGCCGTGGATTCCAGGCAACAAAAAGCAGATTGGAATCTCCGCTCTTCGTTAGAAAGCCCAACCCTGGACCTCAAAGCCTGAAACTTCACAAGCCTAATCCCTGAACCCTTCAATTATGAATCCTAAAGCGGTGAACTCCTAAACCCTAAACCCTATTGAACATTTCAGTGGTAACTTCTTAAGCCGTAAGCGTGCCTAAGCCCCAAAATCCTGAGCCCTAATCCCCCAAACACTGAACCCTCAGGCCTCAAACCTAAAAGCTTCAAACCTAGGGTTTAGGGTTTAGGGTTAGGGTTAGTCCTAAAACCCTCAAAACCCCAAGCCCTAAACCCTCAAACCCTGCACCCTGAAGCCCTGAATCCGTCAGCCCTGAACCCTGAGGCCCCAAAGGATTCTCCCGCATCTGGGCCAGCTCGCTAGAGACAGACATCAGGTTTTTAGCCATGTCCTAAGTTTAGGGTTTAGATATAAAGGGGTGTGTAGGGGCACTCGTGTATATACATATGTAGCTGTAAAGGGTTGTTTAGGAACTGCAGTGTTTGTCGCAAGCTAACATGGAACCCCATGTAGCCCTGACGCCCTTCCTTATGAGGCCTTTCTGGGTTCTATGCTGTTAGCTCTTTGGGAGGGTGTGCTTTGGCTCCAGGTGTGTTTTGGCTGTAGGCCTTGTAGTGTTGGTTACCATGAAACCTACCCCCTGAACCCTTAGCCCCAGGACACTTCGCAAAGTTGGGGCATAAGATTTCAGGCCACTAGCTCGCCACTAAGTCTCAGACACTCCAGAATTCTGGAGCCCTTTGGGGTTTGGGGTTTGGGTTTTGGGGCTTGAGGGTTTGGGGTGGTGGACTAGTTAGGAAGAAGGTTTGAAGGGGCCTAAACATTTCGAATGAGTTTTGGGCATGGTATTGGAAGGCCAAATTACCACTGACCATATGGTAAGAAAAATCCGCGCGAAGGGAGGGCAGTAGAGCCACTGTCTCGTTATGAGGTTAGCATACACCAAACCCTGCCACGAGATAATAGCTGACATACACCAAGCTCTCCAATTACGTAGCTTGGTAAACCAAAGCCCTAAAATCCTAGAATACCCTAAGTCCTAAAACCTGAACCCTAAACCCTACACCCTAAACCCTAAACCTGCAACCGTCAGCCTCGAACTGTTAACCCCTATCCATGGATTCCTGGATGTAAGGATTCTCGGTATGTATGCCTGGTGGAAACCTCAGATCCCAATCGGAGACTAGACCCTCAAAAGTCTAGAATACTGAAGCCCTTAGGGTATCCCTCAACCCTACACCCTAAATCCCTAAATCCCTAAACCCCTGTAAGGAATCCCTAAGCCCTAAACCCCTCTAGTGGGTATCCCTAAACCCTAAACCCTAAATCCCTAAACCCTAAACCCCTGCAGGGTATCCCTAAGCCCTAAACCCCTCTAGTGGGTATCCCTACACCCTAAACCCTCCGCCAAGGCGTTAGGACGCAGGCGGGCAACCTAACCCCTAAGTAAAACCCCAAACCTTAAACACCCTTGCCAAACAGCACCCCAATAAAAATCCAAGTACCCAATAACCACGTACTTGGGATGAGGGTAATAGTAATTATAGTGCACGGTTTGGGTGAGTATATAAATATTGAGTACTTGGGCCCTTAGAGACTCTCTAGCCACCCAAAGCCCTAAACCCCTTATCCACAAACCTAGACCGAATACACTTACAATTACTAAGTGTCCCAACTTCCTTGAACTTACCACTTCAAAGCTGCAAAATCTGAAACTCTGAAAGCAAAATAACTCCCAACCCCCAAGCAACTGCATTAAATTGTGACTCTGAAGCCGGGGAACTGCAGGTACTGGCACCTCAGTTTTGTATGCAGGCTCCAAGGCTTCTGAGGCATAAGTGCTGATTATGGTGGTTCTTTTAAAGGTGCTATATGAGCTACAGCCAATATTTGCCATAGAATGAATGGACATGGTTCCTGATTCGGGAATACACCTAGGATTCTCTCAAACTCCCAGGGGATCCCTTCCCACCCTTGACGGTCCTCTGGTAAGCCTACTAAGGACAGTAGCTCATTTCATTCGTAAACCCTAAACCCTCAGCCTGTGGGCTCGGGCACTGGGCTCACTGGTGCTAAGGGCTTGGAGGCGCAAGGTGATATGGGGGGAGGGGCGGGGCGCTTTGGCGACCCTAAAGAAATATGGAAATATGGAGATCACTGACAGATCATGGTGACCCCTCTTAAGGCATTTCAGAGGAGAAACGTTGAGAAGCTCCCTGAACGAATCCACGGGCAAAAAGTGACCCCGTCTTTCGCCAAACCGCACTCCTACTTCCACACAGGGTTCAGGGTTTAGAGTTAAGGATACAGGATAGGGCAAGACTTTCCCAATAAGAAGAACCTCTGGCACTCTCCAGCAACCAACGTATGGCTAGGGTTTAGCGTTTGGGGCTCAGACGTATCATCCACTATGAGTTTACGAGCTTCCTGTGGTTATACTATACTAGAACTGAAATCTGAAATAACTAACCCTAAACCGCCTAAACCCTAAACCCTAAAACCCAAACCTTAACTGGATAGGAGGTAGAGCAAGCGTCCAGAGCGGCTGAATTAGCATCCCCTCACTCCATTGCCATAGAGGATCCCTAAGCACCAGTACTCAAGGTTTAGGGTTCAGTAAACCTGTAAGATTAGGGTAGTTTAGGGTTTAGGGGTTTAGGGTTTTGGGCTATATTGGGATAGTGGAAAAGAAAATGAAAAGTACTATAGTACATTAGGGTTATATGGGGTTATTTTGGGGTTATGAAAGCACTATACGAGGATTCCTAAAATTAGGGGTACCTCTTTAGAGATGCCCATAGTAAGGATTATCGTATTTTGGGGTCTAAATATTGGATTCCCCCTATTTTGGAAATTACCATATATACAACCTGCAGCAGTGAACTCCAAGCCCTAAACACCCAAAGCAGCACCCATCGAAAATTCGGCCTCAACCCTCAACCCTAAAACCCCTAAACCCTAAAAAAACTCACGTTGCAGCTGCAGCGCCCGCTGCAAGTTGAATACTAGAAGCTCCTGCTGTCCACCCAGCGCGGAACGAAAGATGACGCCACTTGCGGTCATAACGACAAGGCCGAACCTGCAGCGCAGGGCTTGTTGTAAGGTTTAGGTTTTAAGATTTAGGGCTT